TCTAAAAGTCCATCAGCATGGAGCTTCTTCATGCGCTTGACACCAATGTGACCAAGGCGGCAGTGCCACAAGTATGTGGGACTATCATTATCAACTTTACATCTTTTGGTATTCACACTATGAATATGTGTAATATTACGTTCGAGATTCATTAAGAATAAACCATTGACCATCGGAGCATGACCATAAAACATATCTCTCATATAAATAGAACAACCATTATTCTCGGATTTAAATGGGTAGCCATCTCATATTAAACGAGATCCTGATACAATGTTCATGCTCAAATTTGTCACTAAATAACAATTATTGAGGTTTATAACTAATCCCGTAGGTAAATGTAGAGGTAGCGTGCCGACGGCGATCACATCGACCTTGGAACCATTCCCGACGCGCATCGTCACCTCGTCCTTCGCCAGTCTCCGTTTATTCCGCAGCTCCTGCTGTGAGTTACAAATATGAGCAACGGCACCGGTATCAAATACCGAGGAGTTACTACGAGTACTGGTAAGGTACACATCAATTACATGTATATCAAATATACCTTTGGTGTTGCCGGCCTTCTTGTCCGCTAATTATTTGGGGCAGTTCCGTTTCCAGTGACCCTTCCCTTTGCAATAAAAGCACTCCGTCTCAGGCTTGGGTCCATTCTTTGACTTCTTCCCGGCAGCTTGCTTGCCGGGCGCGGCAACTTCCTTGCCGTCCTTCTTGAAGTTCTTTTTACCCTTGCCCTTCTTGAACTTAGTGGTTTTATTCACCATCAACACTTGATGTTCCTTCTTGACTTCTACCTCTGCTGATTTCAGCATAGCAAATACTTCAGGAATGGTCTTTTCCATCCCCTGCATATTGAAGTTCATCACAAAGCTCTTGTAGCTTGGTGGAAGCGACTGGAGGATTCTGTCAATGACCGCATCATCCGAGAGATTAACTCCCAGCTGAGTCAAGCGGTTATGTAACCCAGACATAGTGAGTATGTGCTCACTGACAGAACTATTTTCCTCCATCTTACAGCTGAAGAATTTGTCGGAGACTTCATATCTCTCGATCCAGGCATGAGCTTGAAAAATCATTTTCAGCTCTTCGAACATCTCATATCCTTCATATCTCTCAAAACGCTTTTGGAGCCCCGGCTCTAGGCTGTAAAGCATGCCGCACTGAACGAGGGAGTAGTCATCAGCACGTGTCTGCCAAGCGTTCATAACGTCTTGGTTCTGTAGGACGGGTGGATCACCTAGCAGTGCTTGTAGGACATAATCTTTCTTGGCAGCTATGAGGATGATCCTCAGGTTCCGGACCCAGTCCCTGTAGTTGTTGCCATCGTCTTTCAGCTTGGTTTTCTTTAGGAACGCGTTGAAGTTGAGGACTATGTTAGCCATTTGATCTACAAGACATATTGTAAAGTTTTTAGACTAAGTTCATGATAATTAAGTTCATCTAATCAAATTATTAATGAACTCCCACTCAGATTAGACATCCCTCTAGTCATCTAAGTGTTACACGATCTGAGTCGACTAGGCCGTGTCCGATCGTCACGTGAGACGGACTAGTCATTGTCGGTGAACATCTTCATGTTGATCGTATCTTCCATACGACTCGTGTTCGACCTTTCGGTCTCTGTGTTCCGAGGCCATGTCTGTACATGCTAGGCTCATCAAGTTAACCCTAAGTGTTTTGCATGTGTAAAACTGTCTTACACCCGTTGTATGTGAACATAAGGATCTATCACACCCGATCATCACGTGGTGCTTCGAAACGACGAACTTTAGCAACGGTGCACAGTTAGGGGAGAACACTTCTTGAAATTGTTGTAAGGGGTCATCTTATTTACTACCGTCGTTCTAAGTAAACAAGATGCAAAACATGATAAACATTACATGCAATCAAATAATAAACGTGACATGATATGGCCAATATCACATAGCTCCTTTGATCTCCATCTTGGGGCTCCATGATCATCTTGTCACCGGCTTGACACCATGATCTCCATCATCGTGTCTCCATGAAGTTGCTCGCCAACTATTACTTCTACTACTATGGATAATGCGTTTAGCAATAAAGTAAAGTAATTCACATGGCGTTTCTCAATGACACGCAGGTCATACAAAAAATAAAGACAACTCCTATGGCTCCTGCCGGTTGTCATACTCATCGACATGCAAGTCGTGATTCCTATTACAATAGCATGAACATCTCATACATCACATATAGATCATTCATCATTCATCACAACTTTGGCCATATCATATCACAAAGCACTTGCTGCAAAAACAAGTTAGACGTCCTCTAATTGTTGTTGCAAGTTTTACGTGGCTGAAGTAGGTTTCTAGCAAGAACGTTTTCTTACCTACGTGAAAGCCACAACGTGATTTGTCAACTTCTATTTACCCTTCATAAGGACCCATTTCATCGAATCCGCTCCAACTAAAGTAGGAGAGACAGACACCCGCCAGCCACCTTATGCAACTAGTGCATGTTAGTCGATGGAACCGGTCTCACGTAAGCGTACGTGTAAGGTTGGTCCGGGCCGCTTCATCCCACAATACCGTTGAAGTAAGATAAGACTAGTAACGGCAAGAAAGTTGACAATATCTACGCCCACAACAAATTGTGTTCTACTCGCGCAAGAAGAACTACTCATAGACCTAGCTCATGATGCCACTGTTGGGGAACCTTGCAGAAAACAAAAATTTTCCTACGGTTTCACCAAGATCCATCTATGAGTTCATCTAGCAACGAGTGATTGGATGCATCTACATACCTTTGTAGATCGCGAGCGGAAGCGTTCAAAGAACGGGGATGATGTAGTCGAACACGACGTGATCCAAATCACCGGAGATCCTAGCACCGAACGGACGGCACCTCCACGTTCAACACACGTACGGTCAGCGTAACGTCTCCTTCTTCTTGATCCAGCAAGGAGAGAGGAGAGGTTGAGGAAGATGGCTCCAGCAGCAGCACGACGGCGTGGTGGTGATGAAGCTGCAGTACTCCGCCAGGGCTTCGCTAAGCACTATGGAGGAGGAGGAGGTGTTGGAGAGGAAGAAGGAGGCAACCAAAGGCATAGATCAAAAGCCCTCCTTCCCTCACTATATATAGGAGGGCCAGGGGGGGCGCCGGCCCTAGGAGATCCAATCTCCTAGGGGGGCGGCGGCCAAGGGAGGTTTCCCTCCCCCCCAAGGCACCAACTCCTCCCCTTTGGAAACCCTAGGCGCATGGGCCTATTGGGGCTGGTGCCCTTGGCCCATGTAGGCCAAGGCGCACCCCCTACAGCCCATGTGGCCCCCGGGGCAGGTGGCCCCACCCGGTGGGCCCCCGGGACCCTTCCGGTGGTCCCGGTACAATACCGATAACCCCGAAACTTGTCCCGATGGCCGAAATAGCACTTCCTATATATAATTCTTTACCTCCGGACCATTTCGGAATTCCTCGTGACGTCCGGGATCTCATCCGGGACTCCGAACAACATTCGGGTTACTGCATATACATATCCCTACAACCCTAGCGTCACCGAACCTTAAGTGTGTAGACCCTACGGGTTCGGGAGATATGTAGACATGACCGAGACGACTCTCCGGTCAATAACCAACAGCGGGATCTGGATACCCATGTTGGCTCCCACATACTCCATGATGATCTCATCGGATGAACCACGATGTCGAGGATTCAAGCAACCCCGTATGCAATTCCCTTTGTCAATCGGTATTTTACTTGCCCGAGATTCGATCGTCGGTATCCCAATACCTCGTTCAATCTCGTTACCGGCAAGTCACTTTACTCGTACAGTAATGCATGATCCCGTGACCATACACTTGGTCACTTTGAGCTCATTATGATGACGCATTACCGAGTGGGCCCAGTGATACCTCTCCGTCATACGGAGTGACAAATCCCAGTCTCGATCCGTGTCAACCCAACAGACACTTTCAGAGATACCTGTAGTGCACCTTTATAGTCACCCAGTTATGTTGTGACGTTTGGTACACCCAAAGCACTCCTACGGTATCCGGGAGTTACACGATCTCATGGTCAAAGGAAAAGATACTTGACATTGGAAAAGATCTAGCAAACGAACTACACGATCTTGCGCTATGCTTAGGATTGGGTCTTGTCCATCACATCATTCTCCTAATGATGTGATCCCGTTATCAATGACATCCAATGTCCATAGCCAGGAAACCATGACTATCTGTTGATCAACGAGCTAGTCAACTAGAGGCTTATTAGGGACATATTATGGTCTATGTATTCACACGTGTATTACGATTTCCGGATAATACAGTTATAGCATGAATAAAGACAATTATCATGAACAAAGAAATATAATAATAATACTTTTATTATTGCCTCTAGGGCATATTTCCAACAGTGGCTTGGTCTCAGTCGACTGAGACCTAAGTCTTGGTCAAGTGACATAGGAGAAGAAGAAAAAAAATTGTATGAATCTTTCTACAAGATCAAAGGAATATAGCATTAACTGAGACATAACGAAATTTCAGTCGACCGAGACTAGCAAAACTGTTTAACCAATGCCTAAAATCTGGCGTTCGCCAGATATTCGGGTCCTTTTCTTTCCATGCGACACAGTGGCTTTGTAGTATATTCCTGAAAAACAGAAAAAATGCGGCTAATGCGGCTTTGTGGTAGTTTATCTGTACCACATTGCAGATTCCGCCTATGGCTGTTTTAAGTTTTAACGGGGCCTGTCAAACAAAGTGAGACCAGCTCTGGTCAAACCCTTGGATGGCAGGTATATCAAAATCGTGAACGGCACTCCAAGTTACCCTATAAACAATTTCCTCAATGCTTCCATTTGATAACGACAGCCCAATATTTTAGGACTTAATTTGCCGGCAACAAGAAAAGCTAAACTTTTACTGGGACTTTACAAATACTCCTCTACGCGGCTCTCTTCTTAATTGCTCCGAACTTGCGGCCTCTGTACTCGTCTCACATTTTGTTATCACTCTCCTCCGGAGCGTAGTACTTGTCGTGAGTGGATGCAGCTAGCCATGGCTGCCCAAGACGAGCAGCAGCGGCCGCTGCACATCCTCTTCTTCCCGTTCCTAGCCCCCGGCCACCTCATTCCAATAGCCGACATGGCCGCGCTCTTCGCCGCCCGTGGTGTCAGGTGCACCATCCTCACAACGCCCGTCAACGCAGCCATCATCCGCTCGGCCGTCGACCGTGCCAATGACGCTCTCGCTGGCCCGGCCATTGATATCTCCGTCGTGCCGTTTCCTGACGTCGGGCTCCCGCCGGGCGTCGAGAACGGCATGGCCCTTAGATCCCAGGGCGACCGCGACAAGTTCGCTCGAGCGGTGCAGCTGCTCCGCGAGCCCTTCGAACACTTCTTGGTTCACAACCACCCCGACGCGGTCGTGGCCGGCAGCTACTTCCACTGGTCCGCCGACGCTGCCGCGGAGCACGGTGTCCCACGCCTCACCTTCCTCGGTAGCAGCATGTTCGCGCGGTCCTGCAGCGAGAGCATGCTGCGCAACAACCCATTGGCTACTGTCCCCGACGACCCCGACGCGCTCGTTTCCCTGCCGGGGCTGCCGCACCGTGTCGAGCTGAGGCGGAGCCAAGTGATGGACCCCGTGAAGCAGGCAGACCACTGGGCATTCTTCCAGAGCGTGAACGCCGCGGACCAGAGGAGCTTCGGCGAGGTTTTTAATAGCTTCCATGAGCTGGAGCCGGACTACGTCGAGCACTACCACACGACCCTTGGTCGGCGCGCGTGGCTCGTCGGGCCGGTAGCACTCGCCAGCAAGGACATGGCTGGGAGAGGCACCGACGCGCTCTCACCGGACTCGGACAACTGCCCTGGGTGGCTGAACACGAAGCCTGCTGGCTCGGTGGTGTACGTCTCCTTCGGCACACTGATCAGGTTCTCGCCGCCGGAGCTGCACCAGCTCGCCCGCGGCCTCGAACTCTCAGGCAGAAATTTCATGTGGGTGACGGGCGCCGCAGGCCCGGACCCTTCAGAGTGGATGCCTGAAGGCTTCACCGAGCTGATGGCACGCGGCGACCGCGGGTTCATCATCCGAGGCTGGGCGCCACAGCTGCTCATTCTGAACCAAAGTTTTAAATAGCGCGCTAAGCATCTTAGCGCCGGACCTCTTTCAAATGCTATAGCGTGCTATAGCGGAGCTATAGCGCGCTATTTAAAATGTTTGTTCATTTGTTTGGACCAAATTCTCTTAGCGCAAGACCTTTTGTAAACGCTATAGCGTGCTATAGCGGAGCTATAGCGGGCTATTTGAAACTGTGTTCTGAACCACCCTGCCATTGGTGGGTTCGTGACGCACTGTGGTTGGAACTCGACGCTTGAGGCCGTGAGCGCCGGTGTGCCGATGGTCACGTGGCCGCGGTATGCAGATCAGTTCAGCAACGAGAAGCTTATTGTGGAAGTGCTCAAGGTGGGCGTCAGCATCGGCGCCAAGGACTACGCATCGTCCGTGGAGACTCACCAGGTGATCGGCGGTGAAGTAATCGCTGAATCCATCGGAAGATTGATGAGCAACAACGAGGAGGGCGGTGCCATAAGAAAGAAGGCCAAGGACCTCAGTGTGAAGGCAAGGACCGCGGTGGAGAATGGTGGATCTTCGTACAATGATGTTGGCCAGCTGATGGACGAGTTGACGGCCCGCCGGAGTTCCAAGAAGGTTGGAGAAATGTAAAAAAATGCTTGGGTTGGCATATATGACAAACATTCGCCACGAGAGATGGAGTATTTGGGAAAGTTCGTCGGGCAGTTTCAGTGTATTTGAAGAATCTAGGTGGCTTTTTTTAAAGTCAAATACACCACGGATGCATCAACTTGTCTGGTATGCCTAAACTTGTAAAATATATAAAACTGGTGCCGTAACTTGTCCGAGTGTTTAAATACGGTGCCTCCGTCCGTATCCGGGCATATACACTGCCCATATGACGTGCCAACGTGGCATCGGCCCACATGACAATGGGTGTGAGAGGAGTGTGCTGGTTGTTTTACAAAAAACTCCTTATACATTATATAATTTTCACAAAAACTTTTGACATTTTATTTAAATATGTCAAACTGCATTGATCGCACCTATTACATCTAGACCTGGCATGTCAGCACATGGAATAAAATAGTAATAACAAAAAAAAGCACCCGGCAGGATTCAAACTCGAGGGCGCGCAACTCTAATTAATGGGGCGACCCATTTCGTCCGTTTGGATTATCCGGACACAAAAATTGGCCCAACGAGGCGACCCAAACGGAAGCGCGTGTCCGTCTGTTGTCCGCTTGCCATCCCTCCCGACCCAAACTGAGCACAAAAATGGGCTACAAATGGGTCTGCGCGGACAAAAGCGGGCGCTCTCGTCGTCCGCTCTCGTCTGCTGCCTTCCTCTCATGTCCGCCCTTGGACCCACGTATCAGTGACCGGGTGAGAAAACCACCCCAGCCGCGACCCCACCCCACCTCCGCCTCCTCCCACAGCTGTACCAGCAGCAACTCCCTGTCGGCGGCGATGCATCTCTTCTCGGGCGGCTGTGGCCGCGACCCCCACCCCGCCTCCGCCTCCGCCTCCTCACGCCGCGTCCTCCAGCTCGCCGCCGCGTCCTCCAGCTCGCCGCCGCGTCCTCCAGCTCGCCGCTGCCTGCTTCTTCTTCCTCATCGCCTTCCTCCGCCTAAACTTCCCCTCCTCCCGGTCCACCGCGTCGTCCCCTGCCGGCCCTCGCACCCGCCTCACCCCGAAGGCTGGCCCTCCGCCGCGACTGCATGGCGACAGAGGCCGCCGCGGCCGCCGTCGCCTCCAGGGAGCTCACGGCGGCGCGTGGAAGCAGGGGTGGGAGGTCGCCGTCGGAGCTGGCCGTCGACTTCGCCCTCCCACCTCGATCTCGTATGCTCCCAGTGCAGGTTGTGGTGACGGAGGAACGCGGCGGCGCCGGTAGGAAATCTGCATCTTGCTTGTCCGCTTTGGGTCATCCACGAGCGGCGCGTTGGGTGCATCCGCAGACCGTGCGTGTCCACCTCATGTCCGCTAGGCGGACAGGCGACCCAAACGGACAAAAAACGGATAAAATCCATGTCCGTTTGGGTCGCCCCATTGGAGTTGCTCTAATCACTACGCCTATAATAGTTGACTGTGGAATATCCTAATATGCTTCTATTTATCAAGAAACCGGGTGAAATAATAAAGAGAAATAAAAAAGAAAACGTTGATTCGTGGCAAATTGAAAAATAGAATATTAAGAAAGTCTCATGTTTGAAAAAAAAACTATTCAGCATATTACCTGCCATCAACTTAATTTTTTTAGTGATTTTACAAAAAATCATCATATTTTTGGAAAATTCTCACGTGTACTAAGAAATTATAAATGCGTTTTTAAAAAATGTCTGTCATGCATTCAAAAAATTTACAACATCTATTTCATAAAATGTTCAATATGTATTAAAAAATTAGTGTAAACTTATTCTTACATTTCTACAAACACATTTAACATGTGTTAACACATTTATAGAATTTATTGTTTCTACACAATGATTTTTAATACATGTTAAACAATTTTCAAAATAATGTTGTTGATTTTTAATAGTTATGTATCTAAAAATACAACGAAGATACAAAATAATTTTGTGTGCTTGTGGTCCTGAGCGAAGATGTAAACAAATTTTTAATATTTTATAATATATGTTGAACTGTTTAAATCAACATAAATTTTAGAAAAAGTTCATGGTTAAATCTTTGAACTACAAATAATAATAAAATAGAATAAAAAGTTTTAATAGACAATAATCACATATTGATAATTATTGTATTTTAATATTAGAATATTGTATATCACAAAACCAAACAGTAACTTAAAACATAATACAAATTGCAGAGCGGTAGATAGACTTTCTAGCTAACAGTTGTACACAAGTACTATTTGTTTTGGTGGCTAGCATGCGTACTAGCTATTTAACCTAGATGTCCCAGGGTCGAAACCAATTCAAAGACTCGGTTTATTTTTTTCCTGTTATTGGTATATACAGAGCAATGGCTTATCTGTGACTTTAATTAAATCTTAGGGGATTTTTTGCACACAAAAACTCATACGCATTTCACCCAGCACAAGCATCGCTCACACCCACTGACATCTGGGTCAACCACCAGCTGTCACTCCACGTGGACAGCACATACGGTGGCATACGGGCGGAGGCACCGTATATGCACCGTGCAACAAGTTATAGCACTATTTTTATGTATTTTACAAGTTTAGGCACTAAACTGGCCGCAACAGACAAGTTAAGGCACCTGTGATGTATTTAACTCTTTTTAAAACTACCATGTCATTTCTTTAATTTCGAGTGTAGAAAGTCATCCAAACTGCATCGTAGAATCAAGATCGTGTGGCGGTTAGGGCGTTCACCGGCAGTTTTTCCCTAGAGAATGTTCGCCGGTTACTATTTCCAAAAGGTCTTACTAGTCCCTTTGATATGGCGAGCACTAGGAGCCGGTCGACCGGCCAAAATTTTGGTCGGACGCCATGCAGCCATGCGATTGGAGGCCTCCGCATCGTTGGATCTCCCCTACTCCTTCTCCCTCCTCTCGCAGCTCACCCATCACCCGCTTGTATTTTGGCCACACTCCGCTACTGGTTAGTACCAACAATCCAATGCCATTGCACCATCATTTCATTCCTTTTTCTTAGGTAAATGGTCACTGATGGGCAACCAGCTAGCGATTGCTCGGTCAGACGACATGCACGCAATTGTGGACACTGCGGCATCGCTTTCTTTCAATACCTCTTGGAAGCAGCCATAGCCACTCGTTTCTTCTCCCACGTGACTCCTTCCTCATTTCCGTGTCTCCACCGCCTTCCACCATGGGAAGCCAATATTCCCGACGAGATCCATACACCCACTTGACTCCTCCTCTTTTCCTTCTCAGGCACACCACCCTCCTCGTCATTGTTGCGCGTTTCTACTTCGCCCCCATGCGCACACACCTTGCTTGTTTTAATGGCTAAGGTTGCCCGCGTCACGCCTCTTCTTCGGCGGCATCGCGAGGCCTTGGTGCCAGACTCCATGGTCGAGCTCTCTGCTTCAACCACCCGCACGCTCTGGGGTGTCCCCGCGAGTCGGCATGATGGAACCAGCGTGCCGAAATGTTGGAACTGATGAGGCGGTGTGTTGCGACTGGTGAGCTGTGGTGCTGGAACCGACAAGGCGGCGACACCGAGGCGTTCTAGGACCGGTGAGGTGCGGTGCTGGAACTGGCCAAGGGATTTTCTTCAACCGACGAGGATGGTGCTAGGTGGCGATGGTGCAACCATAGCGAGACATCGACATTGGAACCCACAACTGATTTTGCTGCAAGCTGCTGAAACCATGGTGTCGCGAGAGACATGTACCCGCGGCGAGCGTCGTTGGCGAGAGCGGTGGGCGGCGCACCTCGTGTTGCAACCATGGGGCGGCAAGTTGCAATCGCTGCCAGCCAATGAGGCGTTATGTCGGTGCGGCGGCCCGTCCACAAGCCGGAGCCACAAAAACGAGGTGGCGACGACTATGGATGGTCCATGGTTGGGATGGGGCAATCGGCTGCACTCGATGTCGCTCTTCTCCCTGCGTGCAGTTGTGTGATATGGGGGGCGGGGGGATAGACGATGCGTTGGAAGAGACAAAATATGGGACCCGATTTGACGGTTGAAGGGCAATGCATCACACGCTCGGGATGCTATCGGCTGAAACTTGGATCGGCCAACGTATCTATAATTTTTTTAATTATTTCATGTTATTATATTATCATACTTGTATGCTTTCTATGTAATTTTATATTATTTTTATGAACTAACAATTAACTTGGTGCCCATTGTTAGTTCCTATTTTTTTGTTTCACAGAAAAAACTTATCAAACGAAGTCCAAACACGATGAAACTTTACGGTGATTTTTTATGGACTACGAAAGACCCTAGGAGCTTCGGGCCATAAGATGCATGAGGGAGCCACAAGCTCACCTGGCGCGCCCCAGCAGTTGTGGGGCCATGTAGCTCCGTTTTACCTAGTTCCTGGCCTATAAATTCTGTAATATTCCAAAAAGCCTGAAGCGAGACCCAAAATAATTCTTCTGCCGCCACAAGACTCTGTTCTTCCGCGATCGCATCTGGAGGCCTTTTCCGGTACACTGCCGGAGAGGGAAAACCATTGGGGTGGCAATCCTCATCTACCTTACTATCTTCATGATGATGTGTGGGTAGTTCCATCAAGACCTACAGGTCCATAGTAGTAACTAGATGGCTTTCTCTCTCTTTTGATCTTCAATGCAATGATCTCCTCTGAGTTCTATTCGACGTAACTATCACAGTGTGTTTGTTGGGATCCATGAATTATGGGTTTATGGTAAGATTATTTTCATTGAAATTATTTGAGTCTCTTGAGATTTATTTGTTGTATAATTTTATTGCTATTTATGCTTTCCAATCTATAAGTTTTTTTGGCCACTTGGATGAGTAGAACTTCACAGGGAGTGGGGCACGGTAGTGGGTTCAATATTGCGGTGACCTTACTATATGTGACCATAGGGAGTGGGGGACGTGTGCTGCGACCGCGAGTCGGCATGATGGAACCAGCGTGCCGAAATGTTGGAACTGATGAGGCGGTGTGTTGCGACCGTGAGCTGTGGTGCTGGAACCGACAAGGCGGCAACACCGAGGCGTTCTAGGACCG